TTATAACTGACATCCAAATTCGCATCTCCGAAGTTTAACCCACCTACCAGCCACCTGCACATTTCTGCGCACATGTGCTGCGCAGTGTGCACAGTCACTACACATTACACAATTATGAGAATAAAAATAGTTTTAAACAATCAAGCAAGTCAGGACTGGTATGCAGATTCACAAGTTCTCTCAACATCTTCAATTACCAACAATCAAGAGCACCTTGTGATCTCAATAACTCCGCAGATCCATCTTCTGTTTTCCATTTTCAGTTTTCAATTGAAATATAAGTTCCATCTGGGAGACACATGTTGCATCATTATGTTTAAACAATTATTATGCTTGAACTTTTGATTTTTCATGTGAACTTCACTTCAAAAGTTGATTCAATTTTTAAAGATGATATAATTTGTTTAATGCTACGATCACGGCGCACCAAATCACAGATAACTTGAAAATAACCAAGCAAAAGCCACATTCTTCAGCAAACTATGAGAGCTATCTGATCCATGCTGCGTTGAAATAATTGAAAATCGCCAAAATCAATCAAAATATGACAATTAAATTAATATAAACTTCACAAAACTCTGATTTGTGAGGCAATGCGCAACAGAAATGCGAGGGAATATGGTAGTCATCTGGTAGCAATTATGAAGGATTTCCCCTGTCGCTGATGAAAAAACACTTGAAACAAATTTTTCAACGCAGAGGAAATCCTTCATGATGAGTTGCAGGGACCATTTGATTGGCCCATTTTAGATAAATATAGGCCGAATGTTTCGATTTCAACCCCATTTATCGTAATGAGACGAATCCATTGGCTTAGTGGTACGTCTTTTGAACACATGTAGGCCTTAGATTTCTCCTTAGCCCGCCTGAAACACACCATGCCTTGCATGCATTTCTATGGGTGAAGGAAAATTCATGCGCCGTGATGACGTCACGGTAAAGGAATTCTGAAGCTCGTGAACGGGGGCTGATGTCGACGGCCGCTGTATATTTTTACTGAGGTCACTCGCCGCCGTCCAGCTCCACACGTGCGCCAGTTGTCAATAGGAAATACCGCTCCACGACTAGTTTTCAGCGAGCGTAGGCGACCAGATTCCAGCAAATAGGCGCCGGTTTCCTGTGAGGCTGTGATGTCCTGTTGCACCCATGCGGGGCAGCAGAGTTGGAACATGACGCAGAATTATCAGACGGAGTGGCGTGGTGGGTAACCATGGCAACCGCCGCGATTAGGGACAGTTATGGGTGTCTACTGCGCTGGGCTCAGTTCATAAACGCGGATATCGTTGATAGCGCCGGCATAATTGGGCATTACGGAGCTCATTCGCACGAGTGGACTAACTGCATGCGCTTGTTGGAAACACCGGGTGGATGTTGACAACGGATCGCGCATAAAAATGGTGATTTCCCCTAATTAACTTCATATTTTTGAAATAGGAATGTGCAATATGAATGCGTACACAATGATATACGATCTCACTCATATGCATAATAATATCTCAAACAACCAACATTTATTTATATCCAACTGTCATCAAAAGTCGTCAACAAAACGGAAATAAAATCCCAACAAACACTAATAATAGCAGCAGCTGGCCTGGGTGGCCCGGTCTGTCGCGAACAAAGACACAGCCCTGGGAGCGAAGTGCCACCAAACTGGCCCGCCGGCCGGCCGGGGTCGGCGACCAGTGGCGGAAGAACGTCCACCTTCCCCACCTGGCCGCCACGAGCCGGCAAACACAGACCAGCTGGCCACGGCACGTGCATCACGTGCCAATGCGTGGACAACGTGCTGATACGTGGGTCATGAAGCAGAATGTGGTACACATAACAGAATGCAGTTTAGGTATGAAGTACAACATCATCCATGAATCGACATGTGGCCAACGAGCAATCAAGCGGCTAAGGAACGATATTTGAATTCGAAGCTCATGTAAGTAACAATCTCGGGGTCCACGAGTCAAATACGTGGCCCAAGAATGTGGTCCCAGTACGTGGCGGTGTCCGCGGAGACGAAATGCTGTCAGGGCGCCAGCAGACATAAATAGACCATGATGTGACGTAAGAATGTGACCGAACTGACACAGTCAGAGGAACAAGCTGTCAGTTTTCACCACTTGCTCAGAGTAAACGTAGAGAGCTCAACGATGACTTCCAACACGAAAGGAGGAACGATTTCGAAGATGAGCTGTTTGCAACAGAAGAAGCCGGATACAGAAGTCATCAGCGAGAAGTACAGCCATCGTTTGAAAGGACAACTACCGCACCAAGCCATGAAATGGAGGCACGTCATGAAAAGCCGGTCAAAGGTCCAGGATCTCACCAGATGAGGCACCACACGTCATGGATAGGAGAGCTGCGCAGTCCGCGTCAGACCCAGCGCGCAGAGAGTGCAGCTCCGTTTTCAGCCTTCGCGAAGAGTATCCCAAAACTGACCCTTCCGACCTTCAGTGGTAAGGCGTCAGAATGGCCGAGATGGAGCGGATTGTTCAAAGCGCTGGTGCACGATCAGCCGTCCCTCTCAGACACAGAAAAGATCGCCCACCTTCAGTCATCGGTGAGTGGACTAGCGCAGCAGACAATTTCTGGCATGTTATACGATGGAAGTCTGTACCACCAAGCGTTGAAAGCCCTCGAGGAGCGGTTTGGTCAAGATGACGATATCATCAAACACAACCTCAACAGCATCTTCAACGCCCCAGACCCGATGGAAGATGATGCAGAAGCGCTGGAAAGATTCCAAGCGACGGTACACTGCGCCGTGACTATCCTCCACAGCATGGGGGCAGATGCTGACCTTCACAGCAGTGATAGCTTGCATCGGACGGTGGAAAAACTACCTCGGGACCTGAGAAGAGAATGGGGAAAGTTCTCGCTGGAACTGAAGCCGACGAGACCATCACTTCTAGACGTGGACTCGTGGCTGAAGACCCAAGTGAAGATCAGCAGAAGCTGTCCCAAGGGAAAAGGGGACGGCGAAGAAGTCGGTGCCAGGCAAAGAAAGGAACGCGCCGGTGAGACCGTCCAAAGACAAACCTTCTTCACAGTCGCGATTCCAAAGCACAAGCAGATGTGCTCGGCATGTGAAGGCCAGCACGATCTGCAGCAGTGTCAGATCTTCATCGGGAAGTCTCCTGATGCCAGGCTCAAACACGCATTCAGCCAGAGATTGTGCCTCCACTGCCTCAGGAAGGGCCATCGCGTGGTAGACTGCCGAAAGGCAAGGCGCTGCGAAAGGGATGGCTGCAAGTACCGACATCACGCCCTTCTCCACGGCAGTCGGCCAGTCAGGTCGCGACAACCTGATGACCCAGTGTCAAAGCCTGATGCAGGCAACGATGGAGCAGACGCAGCAGCACCGGGGGCGGCGCATGTCCTCGACCCAGATCCGGCGCTACAGGTGATGTTTGTCCAGAGCAGAGTCAGCGCTGGAGAGCTCCTGTCCGAACAGAAAGGGGAATCGCGATCTACAGGAGCTTCCAAGACAAAACACAGCCAGCCAGTGCCACAGTCTCCAACACGACTCCAACACGCCGCGGGACATGCGGCCGCTCGCCCGCGTGACCCAGGTGTTGCCGGGACCAGATGGATGAGTCCATTCTGTCCAGATCAAGGCGGCAGGACGATGCGAGGATAGATGGCCCGGCGTCAAGTTTGAGATGCAGGAAGTGAAGTGTGCAAATGCTGAGAACAGTCATGTAAATATGTGTATCATGTTCCGTTTGCGCCAGCCGGTTAGTGCGAGCCGACGATTGTTCCCTGTCCGGACCCCGTCCAGTCGAGACCTACCAGCCGATACATCAGCGGCGGTACTGTGAGTAGTGTTCTCGTAGAGTCGAACACGGGGGGCGGGATGTGACCGCCGCATGTATGAATGCTTATGTATGTGCACCGGCTATGGCTCGTCGCCGGCCAGGTAGACCGCCGGGACCGGCCGGCCGCGAGGGCGCCGGCCGCCCGGGCCCGGCCTGACCGGGCCGCCTGACCCTTCCGCCGCCGCGCAGCCTGGGAGGGCCGAGACCGGCCCCCCTGTTTTTGACGGCGGCGTCTGGAATGTGTATTGTCCACGCCGGCGTCCCCGTCCCAGGCATGCGCGCGGACCGGCCAGGTGCGGCTATTTTTGTGACCGCCGCGCGTCGCTAGACGTGTTTTTTCTTCTCCCTTCGTTTCCGGATCTATTCAGCCTCCCCACCTGTGCTATTCTTCGTGACCCCATTTCTCGCCATATTTAAACTGATGTAAACATGTTTCTCGTCCTGTTCTGTTCTGGCCTCCGCAGCGTGCGGACGTGCCTCTGTCCTGTCGTAGCCGTCGCACCGTTCGTTGGACACCGCAATATAGAAATACCTCTTCAGTGCTGTGTCGGGAAGTGTGGAAGCAACGAGACACATTGAGCAACAGTGAGCGGGCGGAGTTAGAATCGGGCGTGTGCGGCACGTGCGCAACTCTTCATTCTACACAAGTTACCTTACCTTCACTCCTCTACCTTTCCTGGTCTGCTGAATTGTGGGCCTCCTTGTCGCTTGAATTGTGACTTCTATCTCTACTCACTTAACCTTCCCATTTTACCCTTCCTGGTCTGCTGAATTGTGGGCCTCCTTGTCGCTTGAATTGTGACTTCTATATCTACTCACTTAACCTTCCCATTTACCCTTCCTGGTCTGCTGAATTGTGGGCCTCCTTGTCGCTTGAATTGTGACTTCTATCTCTCACCTGTGTCACGCTGAATTGCCGTGGCTCCTGGCTGCTGAATTGTGGCCATCCTTCATATCCGATCGATCTGCCTAAAGCCCTTCGCCTACTTGTGTTGAATAGGGTGTGCACGAGTTTCATTTCACCCAAATGCCGTGGACCCGCCGGTCTGATTAGCCCCAGAAAGGAGTGTTTACAGTCCGCTCCGCCAGAGGAGAGTCGGGCGCCGCGCGGAGCGGTGTCCCGTCGAACACAGGCCGGCGCGCGGCCGCGACATTTACTGGTCCTCCGGGCCGGATCCATCCGGCAACATGTCAGCAACAGGAGAAACAGAACAGCCTCCTGCAGCAGACCTGGAAGAGAGCGTCCTTAGAGAGGAGCGTCACGAAGGGGTGAGTGAAGAGTTGAAAGTGCTGCGCCGGAAAAGAGGACAGAAGTTAGCAGCCTTTTCCCGCGTATGCCACAGAGCCGAGTCCATCATCGCCGTTCGTGGAAGTCGCTCAACCTTAGAAGGATTGTACGCGACAGTCGATGCGGCGTTAGAAGGCATCATCACAGCTAATGATGCACTGGAAGCCTGCCTGTCGTCTGAAGCAGATAAGGCTGATGCAGAGGAGTACTGTGCTAAGGCAGAACGTGATAGAGAAGATATCGTTGAAAGAATCACCCAGCATCTAGCAGAGCGCAAAGATGAGCCACCATCAGAAACTGGATCTGTCGTTTCTGTCGCTCAGAAGAGCCAGACGAGTGCCGTCTCAAGAGCATCTCAAGTCGAAGCAGAGGTTGCATCAAAGATTAAAGCACTACGCCTACAGCAGCTTAAGCGCAGGCAAGAAGAACAGCGACTGCAAGAAAGTCGAGAAGAGGAGAAACAGCGCCGCAGGCAAGAAGAGCAGCGCCAGGAGAGAGAAGCCGAAAGACGAAGACAGCTTCAAGATGCTGAAGATGAAGCTGAAGCAGCCCAGCTCGAAGCTGATCTGCGTAGAGAGCTCAACGATGACTTCCAACACGAAAGGAGGAACGATTTCGAAGATGAGCTGTTTGCAACAGAAGAAGCCGGATACAGAAGTCATCAGCGAGAAGTACAGCCATCGTTTGAAAGGACAACTACCGCACCAAGCCATGAAATGGAGGCACGTCATGAAAAGCCGGTCAAAGGTCCAGGATCTCACCAGATGAGGCACCACACGTCATGGATAGGAGAGCTGCGCAGTCCGCGTCAGACCCAGCGCGCAGAGAGTGCAGCTCCGTTTTCAGCCTTCGCGAAGAGTATCCCAAAACTGACCCTTCCGACCTTCAGTGGTAAGGCGTCAGAATGGCCGAGATGGAGCGGATTGTTCAAAGCGCTGGTGCACGATCAGCCGTCCCTCTCAGACACAGAAAAGATCGCCCACCTTCAGTCATCGGTGAGTGGACTAGCGCAGCAGACAATTTCTGGCATGTTATACGATGGAAGTCTGTACCACCAAGCGTTGAAAGCCCTCGAGGAGCGGTTTGGTCAAGATGACGATATCATCAAACACAACCTCAACAGCATCTTCAACGCCCCAGACCCGATGGAAGATGATGCAGAAGCGCTGGAAAGATTCCAAGCGACGGTACACTGCGCCGTGACTATCCTCCACAGCATGGGGGCAGATGCTGACCTTCACAGCAGTGATAGCTTGCATCGGACGGTGGAAAAACTACCTCGGGACCTGAGAAGAGAATGGGGAAAGTTCTCGCTGGAACTGAAGCCGACGAGACCATCACTTCTAGACGTGGACTCGTGGCTGAAGACCCAAGTGAAGATCAGCAGAAGCTGTCCCAAGGGAAAAGGGGACGGCGAAGAAGTCGGTGCCAGGCAAAGAAAGGAACGCGCCGGTGAGACCGTCCAAAGACAAACCTTCTTCACAGTCGCGATTCCAAAGCACAAGCAGATGTGCTCGGCATGTGAAGGCCAGCACGATCTGCAGCAGTGCCAGATCTTCATCGGGAAGTCTCCTGATGCCAGGCTCAAACACGCATTCAGCCAGAGATTGTGCCTCCACTGCCTCAGGAAGGGCCATCGCGTGGTAGACTGCCGAAAGGCAAGGCGCTGCGAAAGGGATGGCTGCAAGTACCGACATCACGCCCTTCTCCACGGCAGTCGGCCAGTCAGGTCGCGACAACCTGATGACCCAGTGTCAAAGCCTGATGCAGGCAACGATGGAGCAGACGCAGCAGCACCGGGGGCGGCGCATGTCCTCGACCCAGATCCGGCGCTACAGGTGATGTTTGTCCAGAGCAGAGTCAGCGCTGGAGAGCTCCTGTCCGAACAGAAAGGGGAATCGCGATCTACAGGAGCTTCCAAGACAAAACACAGCCAGCCAGTGCCACAGTCTCCAACACGACTCCAACACGCCGCGGGACATGCGGCCGCTCGCCCGCGTGACCCAGGTGTTGCCGGGACCAGATGGATGAGTCCATTCTGTCCAGATCAAGGCGGCAGGACGATGCGAGGATAGATGGCCCGGCGTCAAGTTTGAGATGCAGGAAGTGAAGTGTGCAAATGCTGAGAACAGTTATGTAAATATGTGTATCATGTTCCGTTTGCGCCAGCCGGTTAGTGCGAGCCGACGATTGTTCCCTGTCCGGACCCCGTCCAGTCGAGACCTACCAGCCGATACATCAGCGGCGGTACTGTGAGTAGTGTTCTCGTAGAGTCGAACACGGGGGGCGGGATGTGACCGCCGCATGTATGAATGCTTATGTATGTGCACCGGCTATGGCTCGTCGCCGGCCAGGTAGACCGCCGGGACCGGCCGGCCGCGAGGGCGCCGGCCGCCCGGGCCCGGCCTGACCGGGCCGCCTGACCCTTCCGCCGCCGCGCAGCCTGGGAGGGCCGAGACCGGCCCCCCTGTTTTTGACGGCGGCGTCTGGAATGTGTATTGTCCACGCCGGCGTCCCCGTCCCAGGCATGCGCGCGGACCGGCCAGGTGCGGCTATTTTTGTGACCGCCGCGCGTCGCTAGACGTGTTTTTTCTTCTCCCTTCGTTTCCGGATCTATTCAGCCTCCCCACCTGTGCTATTCTTCGTGACCCCATTTCTCGCCATATTTAAACTGATGTAAACATGTTTCTCGTCCTGTTCTGTTCTGGCCTCCGCAGCGTGCGGACGTGCCTCTGTCCTGTCGTAGCCGTCGCACCGTTCGTTGGACACCGCAATATAGAAATACCTCTTCAGTGCTGTGTCGGGAAGTGTGGAAGCAACGAGACACATTGAGCAACAGTGAGCGGGCGGAGTTAGAATCGGGCGTGTGCGGCACGTGCGCAACTCTTCATTCTACACAAGTTACCTTACCTTCACTCCTCTACCTTTCCTGGTCTGCTGAATTGTGGGCCTCCTTGTCGCTTGAATTGTGACTTCTATCTCTACTCACTTAACCTTCCCATTTTACCCTTCCTGGTCTGCTGAATTGTGGGCCTCCTTGTCGCTTGAATTGTGACTTCTATATCTACTCACTTAACCTTCCCATTTACCCTTCCTGGTCTGCTGAATTGTGGGCCTCCTTGTCGCTTGAATTGTGACTTCTATCTCTCACCTGTGTCACGCTGAATTGCCGTGGCTCCTGGCTGCTGAATTGTGGCCATCCTTCATATCCGATCGATCTGCCTAAAGCCCTTCGCCTACTTGTGTTGAATAGGGTGTGCACGAGTTTCATTTCACCCAAATGCCGTGGACCCGCCGGTCTGATTAGCCCCAGAAAGGAGTGTTTACAGTCCGCTCCGCCAGAGGAGAGTCGGGCGCCGCGCGGAGCGGTGTCCCGTCGAACACAGGCCGGCGCGCGGCCGCGACAGCTAGCTTGAATAAAAATGTCACCCCCGGGCACAGGGGATGGCAAGGTAATTTATAAAGGTAGTTTACGCAGGTTAACTTAAATAATGACAGTCATTGTCAGATGTCCATGACACTTTTGGCAGGCATTTCTTCCTTCAACCCAAAACTTCGCCTCCGCACTAACTTTAATCCATCCGGTTTAACCACCTGAACCAAGTCATTTCCCTGTCCCAGATCGCAGCTATGTCCCATTTCTAGCCCCACCTTACTCCTATCTACTATACTATTTGTGAAATGAAACTCTGTCTGTGTGAATGTGTGTTTGCACCGTGCAGAGGGGTGCTTTGACGCCGTGCACAGGTCAAACGGTGCGGTCGATTGGGCTGAAATTTTCGCAGGGTGTTGATGACGTCACGCGCACGTGCAGTGTCGAGGTTCGGGTCCCCGGGGGTGGATGGTTCGCACGTGGCACGCGCTGGAAAAAGGTGCTTTTTCTCCAAATTTTGCTCGGCTCTCAAGCTTGCTTCAAGGCATCGGCAGCCGGGTTCAATCGCCTTTGACAATCAAATGCATGACGATCGGCGGCGGGTGCCTCTCATTTGCAGATTGGCCAAGTTATTTATTTTGATAAACAGAGGCGAATGAAGGTGTTGATTTTCGGTAAATAAAGACAGTTTTCAATGCGCTTAACCGAATGCACCGCGTTTGCCGCAGTGCGCCACATTTGTCCACATGCGCTATTTTTGCCCCAAATCGCACAACTTTGTCAAATATGGTCCGATAAAGGTGCAATTCGGTGGAAGGATGCATGGCAAAACGACAGACACAAATGCGCCACTTTTGTCGCAATGCGCCACATTTGTCACTAGGCGCCATTTCAACCAAATACGATTAAGAATAATGGAATGACACGAGTAGGAGAAGGGTTAGGAACTCTTTTTTAGTTAATCAGTTAATCTGATAGTCTGTGACCTCACATGACCCAGTGGTAGTGGTAGGTGTAGGTGTAGTGGTAGTGGTAGTAGTATTGGTAGGGGTAGTGGTAGGGGTAGTGGTAGGGGTAGTGGCAGGGGTAGTGGTATGGGTAGTGGTAGGGGTAGTAGTAGAGGTAGTAGTAGGGTAGTGGTAGGGGTAGTGGTAGGGGAAATAGTAGGGGTAGGGGTAGTGGTAGGGGTAGTGGTAGGAGTAGTGTTAGGGGAAGGGGTAGGGGTAGTGGTAGGGGTAGTAGTAGGGGTAAGGGTAGGGGTAGGCGTAGTGGTAGGAGTGGGGGTAGGGGTAGGGGTAGGGGTAGTGGTAGGGGTAGTGGTAGGAGTAGTGGTATGGGTAGAATTAGTAAAAGTGTGGTACAGGCCGATACAATGTGACGTGGTGACCTATACGACCTGGCCTGACCGAAGGTGACCTGGCCTGACCCAGTGTGACCAGGTTCTGCTTCTAGACGGCTCATCGGTATGAATCAGACACCATTCGAAAGCGAACTGGCTGCTGCGTATTTTATGGCTACGCCGCGAAGCAAGTGGCGCAGCCGCTTGTCTACTATACTATTTGTGAAATGAAACTCTGTATGTATGTGTTTCTGTCTGTTTGCACCGTGCAGAGGGGTGCTTTGACGCCGTGCACAGGTCAAACGGTGCGGTCGATTGGGCTGAAATTTTCGCAGCGTGTTGATGACGTCACGGGCACGTGCAGTGTCGAGGTTCGAGTCCCGGGGGGTGGATGATTCGCACGTGGCACGCGCTGGAAAAAGGTGCATTTTCTCCAAATTTGCTCGGTCTTCAAGGCATCGGCAGCCGGGTTTGATGAACTTTACAACTAAAATGCATGACGATCGGCGGCGGGTGCCTCTCATTTGCAGATTGGCCAAGTGATTTATTTTGATAAACAGTGGCGAATGAAGGTGTTGATTTTCGGTAAATAAAGACAGTTTTCAATGCGCTTACACAAATGCACCGCGTTTGCCGTAATGCGCCACATTTGTCCAAAGCGCCTTTTTTGTCGCAAATTGCACAGCTTTGTCAAATATTGTCCGATATAAAGGTGCAATTCGGTGGAAGGATGCATGGCAAAAGGACAATTACAAATGCACCACTTTTGTCGCAATGCGCCACATTTGTCACAAGGCGCTATTTCCATCAAATACGACTAAGAATAATGGAATGACACGATAGGAGCAAGGTTAGGAACTCTTTTTTTAGTTTATCAGTTTATCTTATAGACTGTGACTTCACATGACCCAGTGGTAGTGGCAGGTGCAGTGGTAGTGGTAGTGGTAGTGGTAGTAGTATTGGTAGGGGTAGTGGTAGGGGTAGTGGTAGTAGTATGGGTATTAGTAGGGGTAGTAGTAGGGGTAGTGATAGGGGTAGTGGTAGGGGTAGTAGTAGGGGTAGTGGTAGGGTAGTGGTAGGGGTAGTAGTGGTAGGGGTAGAAGTAGGGGTAGTGGTAGGGGTAGTAGTAGGGTAGGGGTAGTGGTAGTGGTAGGGGTAGAAGTAGGGGTAGTGGTAGGGGTAGTAGTATGGGTAGTGGTAGTGGTAGGGGTAGTGGTAGGAGTAGTGTGGTAGGGGTAGTGATAGGGGTAGGGGTAGTGGTAGGGGTAGTGGTAGTAGTAGTGGTATGGGTAGAAGTAGTAGAAGTGTGGTACAGGCCGATCCAATGTGACGTGGTGACCTATACGACCTGGCCTGACCGAAGGTGACCTGGCCTGACCCAGTGTGACCAGGGATGACTATCTTGACCTGACTTGACCCCGTACGACCCAAATTTCATCCAACTAAGCCCTCAGAATAGTTACTATGTTCAAAATTTTCCTCTGCACGTTTCCGTCCATATCTCTGCTTCCAGACGACAGACCGATTTAAATCAAACACCATTCGAAAGCAAATTGGCTGCTGCCGCATTTTATGGCTACGCCGCGAAGCAAGTGGCGCAGCCGCTTGTTCTCCACAACTATTTGCCGTGAATTTGATGACTTTCGGAACGAGAATCTCAGACTATATTTTAACCGGGTGAGGAGTTCCTCTCTCCGTTCGACGCTCTGCGGCGCCCTGTAGTGAGCACGACCAACGTACGACACTGTAATCAGTCTAGATATCATCGTGACATAGTTGCCCACTCTACGCTATGCACGCTTTTGCCTTAGCTCCAAACATGCACCAGCCATTCGTGAAAAACAGGTCCCGATTTTACCAACTGTAGTTTGCGCCATCTATCGGTAGGATTTGAAGCTCTACCTTCGGCCTACCGATATTATCCTTCGATACGGCGCACACAAAGCACGTTTATAAAAACGAATGATACCGTGACAAAGAGCGTCTTCAATTGCCCCGGTGACACCAATAAACTTTCGCCATTTACGCACCCCGAAAGAAATATAGCCGATCACAGCGCGCAGACGGCGCCCGGTAGATGGCAGGCCCGTCGATGTTTTTCAGCAGCGAGCCGCGTCTGTCCGCGACCAGGCGTCTGTCTGCGACTAGCTCTGCCCTCCGCCGCTAGATGGCAAATGTCAGATTTGTCGCTCATGAGTATCGAAAACCAAATAAACGCGAATAACTTGAATGAGAATGATAAAAGAGCTAGAATTTTACGGAGATTGTTGAGACACACGCTATGGAACCGCAATGGAACTATCAGTATTCACTATTTCGGTCAGCATTTTGTGCAAACGATCGTTATATTGGTACGATCTTGAAACGTCCAAGTTGATTAGTCTTCTAAATAAGTTATTTATAAGGAACGCCTGCAAGCTAACATTCAGGCCAGGTAACATGCTGCCGACGGTGCGTGATTAAGATTATTGTGGCCACCAGCCGTCCGTGCGGCTAACGACGGAATTATCATCTTTCTTGGGTATTTCGCCGGCCGCCGGCAGCGCATATTCTCAGTTTCCGCAATATTTTCAAGTGATTCAAATGCAATCATCAGAACAACTTTTTCCTGGCCACCGGCAGTGCATGATCAACTCATGTGATGCATTTGCAATATCTCCCAGCGATCAGAGTACGGCACCACCGTTATATTTTCAAGTGAATCACGACTTTTGCACAAATACCAAGGATGCAATGTTATGATATATTCTGACCCCCCCCCCCCTCCCTGAACATGTCAGCAAGATGAGATCTCAAGTAGGTACGTGAGTATTTTGCCAAGCTGGCCGACGGCCGGAACGCTTGACAGGTGCCGCCAACTGGCGGCAGCATCTCATGCCACCTAGCGGCCGGCCGCCGGCCGGCTCCAGCGGCCAGGCCACAGAAACGGCGAAGCGGCAGACAACCGCCGTGACGTCACTGGTGGCCGGCAGTTCATATGACGTCACTGGCGGCTGACAGCATTTCGTTGTTACTTATATCTCAGCTTCTAGATGTCAGATCGACACCGGACAAGCGCCGATCGATCACTTGAAAGTACCAAGTGCTTTTGCGAGCACCAAGCAAGTACCAAGTACTTTTGCAGTACCAAGCAAGTACCACTTTTGCAAGTACCGAGTACTTTGGCAAATGTTAAGCAAGTACCAAGTACTTTTGCAAGTACCAAGCAACTACCAAATACTTTCCCAAGTATCAAGCAAATACCGAGTACCTACTTTTGCAGCCTAAACAGGTTGTTCGCGAATATCTCAGCTTCTAGAAGGACGATCGACACGGGACAAACACCATTCGATCCCAAATTTTTCCCCGAATCATTTTATGGCTAACGCGACGCGTAGCGAGCGCAGGACATCTTGTCTACTATACTATTTGTGAAATGAAACTCTGTCTGTCTGTCTGTTTGCACCGTGCAGAGGGGTGCTTTGACGTCGTGCGCAGGCCAAACGGTGAGGTCGATGAGGCTGAAATTTTCGCAGGGTGTTGATGACGTCACGCGCACGTGCAGTGTCGAGGTTCGAGTCCCGGGGTGTGGATGGTTCGCACGTGGCACGCGCTGGAAAAAGGTGCTTTTTCTCCAAATTTTTTCTCGGCTCTCAAGCTTGCTTCAAGGCTTCGGCAGCCGGGTTCAATGGACTTTGCAACTAAAATGCATGACGATCGGCGGCGGGTGCCTCTCATTTGCAGATTGGCCAAGTTATTTATTTTGATAAACAGAGGCGAATGAAGGTGTTGATTTTCGGTAAATAAAGACAGTTTTCAATACGCTTAACCGAATGCACCGCGTTTGCCGTAGTGCGCCACATTTGTCTAAAGGCGCCATTTTTGTCGTTTATCGCAAAACTTTGTCAAATATGGTCCGATAAAGGTGCAATTCGGTGGAAGGATGCATGACAAAACAAGTACAAATGCACCACTTTTGTCGCAATGCGCCACATTTGTCTCAAGGCGCCATTTCCACCAAATACGATTAAGAATAATGCATAGGCGCGGGAGCCGGGGGGGGCAGTGGGGGCATCTTGCCCCCCCCCCCCCAACTCTGGGGCCGTGGGGGCGGTGCCCCCACAGCTTTGAGACGGAATACCACACTTTTTTTGCAAATGTTTTCTTTTTATGTTGAAAAAGCCGAGGGGTGAAAAATAAGTGGCCTAAAACCGGTGAGAAAACTAGATTTGGGGGTACCCTAGGTTAATCTCTATTATGGTGTGCCCCCCAGTCGGAAAGTAGTTCCCGCGCCCCTGGAATAATGGAATGACAAGATTAGGAGCCGGGTTAATACTGTTTTAGTGTATTATTTATCTGTTTTTTTTTTTTAGTTCCTACTTATTGGATTCAATTAATCTGTGACCTCACATGACCCAGTAGTAGTGATGGTAATAGTGGTAGGGGAAGTAGTGGGTGTAGTGGTAGTGATAGTGGTAGGAGCAATGGTAGTAGTAGGGGTAGGAGTAGTGGTAGTAGTAGGGGTAGGGGCAGGGTTACTTTTACAGGAAAAGTCGAGATGGGGAATAAAGTTCGGGGCAAGGGCGGATCCAGGGGCATCTGAAAGGGGGGCCCAATGCCATTAGGTTTTTGTTAGGATGGCGCCTGCAGAACTTTACCTACCCCAAATCCTACTCTCTCCCCGGATTCTGGCCACTTTATATTGTTAGGTTGCCAAAAAAAAAGATAAAAAAATATACGTAGGTATCTACCTTGGCGGTAAGGGGCGGGGGAGGTCCCAACTTGACTGCGCGCTTGCAAATGTCAATCAGTAGTATCAACCTATTACCCAGGCCAAACATCAAGTAGCGCCTTTCTTAATAGAGAGAGGTTAACACGTGACTTTTTTTTGCTAGGCCAAGACCGATTGAAGGATCCTGGTTCGAAGGAAGACCCTTGGTTCGGAGAGGTCATGACCCCCGTCCCCCGCCGGTTTCTACGCCGTCGCCTGTAGCGATATGTCAATGATTGCGAAGAGACGAAAGAGACAAGACAAGAGACGGTCCCACCGACCATCCGATCGGTATCGGGTCAAATCTGGAGTTCCCGCTGCACTGAACGTAAAATGGTTGGATGGTGCCTCAAATTGAAAATTATCTAAGCGCCAGCAACGTTGATTGATGACTAGAGTCTGATCAACGATGATTAGAGAATCTGAGTAGCGAATTGATTGAAAATGGGCTCAAAAATAAATTTGAAAGGGGGAAATTCCCCCTTCCCTCCCCAGCCGTTCACGCACAATTTGAAAGGGGGAGCGGAATTTTCGAAGGGGGGAAATTCCCCCTTTCCCCCCCTTTAAAAGTAACCCTGGGTAGGGGTAGTGGTAGGGATAGTGGTAGTGGTAGGGTTAGTGGTAGGGGCAGTAGTAGGGGTAGTGGTAGTGGTAGTGGTAGGGGTAGTGGTAGGGGTAGGGGTAGTGGTAGGGGTAGGAGTAGGGGTAGTGGTAGGGGTAGTGGTAGATGTATTGGTATGGGGTAGGGGTAGGTTTAGGGGTAGGGGTAGTAGTAGTGGTAGGGGTAGTAGTAGGGGTAGTGGTAGGTGTAGGGGTAGTGGTAGGGGTAGTGGTAGGAGTAGTTGTATGGGTAGAAGTAGTAGAAGTGTGGTACAGGCCGATCCAATGTGACGTGGTGACCTATCCGACCTGGCCTGACCGAAAGTGACCAGGGATGACCAACTTGACCTGACGTGACCCTGTATGACCCAAATTTCATCCAGCTAAGCCCTCAGAATACTTTTTATGTTCAAAAATTTCCTCGGCACGTTTCCGTCCATATCTCTGCTTCCAGACGACCGATCAATTTAATTCATACACCATTCGAAAGCAAATCGGCTGCTGCCGCATTTTCTGGCTACGCCGCGAAGCAAGTGGCGCAGCCGCTTGTTTACCCCTATTCGCCCAGATATTCCCCTTCACTCCTCTAAATAACATTCACCTTTATATTCCTTCACTATTTCATTAATCCGCTTGCTCATGTTCGACCATCCATCTCGCTCCGCCGTTCTTTTCCTTTCCCCATCCCTATCAACCTCTCTCTTCCAATCTGAGGGGACTGACCTTCGTCTTTGCTGGAGTAGAATGCGGAGGGCGGCGGCGGCAGTCGGCTCACAGTCGGTCTCTTCCAGCCGCGCCAGTTGGTGCAGACCGACTCCTGCTCCGAGACCCACGAGCACAGACTGTCCTCCTCAAACCTGCCAGGGAGGGGTCAGGTCAGGTCACAGGCCAGGTCACAGCGGGTCAGTTGGTGCAGACCGACTCCTGCTCCGAGACCCACGAGCACAAATTGTCCTCAAACCTAGGGAGAGGTCAGCTCAGGTCAGGTAACAGGCCAGAGGTTCGGAACGTGGAGACGACAAGCATAAGTCCTCCAGATTTCAGATTCTGAGGACGGCAGATAGTGATGGTAACTCCCACTTCTTAAAACACGTCCCCTAATTGCGACGAAGATCGACATACGTTAGGTTTAAATGGGCTCCGCCCATGATGTCCCCTCGTTAGCCAGAGGAGGTCACGGGTCAACGGTCGGTGCTTATGTAATGGGTTTGATCAAACGCCATTCACCGCAAAGGCACAAAGAGGGATAACTTTAGCCAGCGAATGAGCAACCAAAGCAATGCCTCATTCAGCGTCACTCTTAGGAGAAGTTTAAGGCCCCAAAGTACAGTTGGGAAGGCCAGCATCATTTCCCAACTAGCACACAGCCGAAGACCCTCTTCAAAAGCCTCAGTAGAGCGATGACGTCATACGGGTTCCACACGACACTCAATCAAGATGAATCCATAATTCAGCTGTGCATGAAAGCATTCGCGGACATTATACGGAATTCCGTCACACTGTTTGAAACTTCGCAACACTCTCAGAGGTGAACATTTTACGAGTTCGAGCATTAATTCGCCATCAAGGGCTCCGATTCCTACCATGTGGTGTTAAAGCAAACATTAGGTACCGTGCGTGACCACAAATCGCGCTCCAGGTGCCGAGCGTTGTATGCAGCGTCACAACTCTCATTAATCGAACAGTGAAACCTCATTCTACCTTACTGTAAACCAAGCGCCGAACAACACCTGAACTTTAGCTACCTACCTACTATTTCGACGATGATGAAGCAAGATTTTAAAGGCGCCTGGACTGCACCAACTTAGAGTCTAGGAGTCAGCAACCACGACTAAATACCAATGCAAAGTCAGCTGGGACATACACCACTAAACCAGATGAGCCAACATATAACCAGATCGTACTCTCGGCCCCGCAGCCATACAGGGCTCAACATCTAACATTTTATGGCTACGAAGTGGAGCCTATCTCTGGAGTCTATCGGATAGACCCCTGACTCTGGAGTCTATCCACCCCATTTCGCGGCCTCTGAGCACCCTAGGAGTAGGGACACACTGTTGCCGCAACAGACCCCGCTGCCAAAACCCGTCCGATTGGTAAAAACCGGTCGGTTTAGTACCCACCTCCCCCTCCCTAACCCCAGCTGCTCGGGTCAACGAGTGCTGGGGCTGGGTCAACTCACACAGGTCAAGGTCAGGGTCAAGGTCAGGCGAGTTTAACGCTAGCAACTGGGCCTTAGATAGGCAAGTACGCAAGCTTCAGATACATGCGTGTAACTATCACAATCACTGCTTGCAGAAGGATTAGCGGCATGGTTCATGAGGATCAAAAGAATGCTAGCCGCTGCGGAATTTGACGTGTCAGACGATGTGTCCAACATTACATCACACAACGTGACAGCGTGACACGCACATTGACAGACAGCATGAAGGATATAGGACATACCTACCAAGATTAGGTACTAGAGCATACGCCGTTTCAGACATGTCAGACACGACGCAGACAAAGCGACAGACATCATGTAAGACATTATGCCAGACAGCCTGGTGTAGACAGCACGGCAGACAATGTTACTGTGTGACCTACAACACACTCATAGCAGCCGAGTGTATGCTTACTGTATGTGATATCAGGCAGCGTTTCAAGACCTCAGCCACTGATAATGTCAGTGACGCGTGCCAAATGATATGGCTAATCCACACGAACTCATCGTATCGAGACAAGTGCTTGACTACTATGTAGCTACTAGCTATATAGTCAAATAAATCCTATTGTAATTCCTGCGCTATCAAAAATATTGGCACGTAATATGGCATTTCTACGGTCAACCGACGATGCAAGCGCATAACCTAGCAATCCATCACATGAAGTATGACTATTGACTAAAGGTAGGGGAGAGTGGGGTAAGATGCCCAGGGTGGGAAAGACGCCCCACCCCCTCTAGCGGCGAAACAAAGAATCGGACCTGGAAATTAATGTTCTTAGCGTAAAGCGGAAGCCTGCCTTGTTATCTGCACAAAAAAAAATTGTGAAGCTCAGTTGGGCAACGGCTGGCTGATGATTGCATGTTTTTTATTTGCTGCTTTCAAAAAATATGTTGGTGTCAGAACATTGTAAATATCAAAAAAGGTAAATAATTTTTGCGTCCCTTGCTATAGTCGTGATTCATTAGCATGCAAGTACTGTGTCCCAAACAGTTTGTTTCAGGGTGTAGTTTTATGGCTAACAAATTGTACTGATTTAATGTTACTTCGGTACCTTGGGGTAAGATGCCCCCTGTCCTGATGGGGAAAGACGCCCCCCTAAATCCGTAGGCTGTCCTTCAAACAGCCCGTCAAATCATTTATTACATACTTGTGATAAGAGACAAAAGCCGAGCTGGGACTATTGAGAGTCCAGTACGGTCGGGTGCTCCCCATGCCGGTCTCTCGGCCCACATAGCGACTTTTTGGGCGGCAGCTGACTCTGAGAGCCCTCACGACGGCCTCTGTGGGCCCCATTATTGGCTCCAGGGCCCCTCACGGCATCCTTTGAGGGCTCCCACGTTGGCCCCACGGGCCGCGCTGGCACCGGAGGTCCCCACGATGGGCTCGAGGGCCCTCAAGCATCATGAAGACCTATAAGAGCCCCACACTTGGTCTCCGAACGCCACCACGGAGGCTTGTTTGGCCGCGCTGGACTATGATGGCCCTAACGATGACCTCTGAAGCCCCCTACGACTACTTTTGAGGGCCCTTATGATGACGTTTGGTGTCTACTGCAGGCTCGAAGGGACTAGTGATTCGTTCAGGCGATTCACGTGCCCATTTATGTCACTTATAGTGCAGGGGGCATCTTTCCCAACGTCAGGGGGCGTCTTTCCCACCCTGTGGGGTAAGATGCCCCCTTTCACTTCTTCAGGAAAATGCTTAATAGCAAAAAAAGTTATAATATTTCAGGCACGAGAGTGTGATATTTTTGGAGAAAAATGATGTCGGCTTCCGTTGAAACTCCAAGTTTTTGCTTTCCCATCGTCATTTTCGAATAATATATGACATAGCAAAACCCTGGGCATCTTTCCCCACTCTCCCCTACAACACGTCTGCAAATACCCCACGGACCCCGCACCACAGTCGGTGCTGAATTTTTCATCTCCAGATGTCTGGGTTACCCAACAGGGTAGCCGGCGCTTTGGAGACAGGTGTCACCGCCGGTCCTGTGTCACACTGTTTGGCAATGGCAGTGTCAAACTCCTCCGGACGGGCCAGCGCCACACAGCTGAATCGACAAATGTACGGCACCGAGGGTGACGAGTTACGCAACTAGGGTAGGCGTTCTATTGACCAATGTGTGATTTATGTACGAGAACACTTTCTTCATCGACTAAAGCTGATGGACTCATCGTTATACACAATCCTAGACTGATGTGACCTGCTGACATATCCTAAACAAACAGCGCCATGTGTCCCTATGAATGAAGGTTCAAGATGCAAAACTGCATTATTCAAACCCAGACGATACTTGCATAGTCATATTAGCCCGAATAAGAATAAAGTCATGAATCTAAGCCAAACACAACACCACCGCTTACTCCTATCATATGGACTAGTAGACACGGATATTTCACTCTTGAGTCACTACACGACACATATCCTCTCACTTTCATTCACTCTCCAACCAGCTCCAACTCCAAACCCCCTAACCGACCTGCCACAGACACCTACCCTCTCACTCTAACTCACTCTCAACCTCATCAAACCCTCACAACTCTCCATACATCTAAACTCCAAACTCTCCAGCCGATCAGGCGACACGGACCTGCCGTGCTGCCAGACCAGGTGGAGGTACCCCAGCGACATCGTAACGGGGCCAAGGCCTCCAAGGCCGACGCCGGCCGGACGGCGGACTGAGGCGCTAACGCCACAGTAGATGTACGGGCAGACGCACAGATAGCGCTTAGGGAGAGTGTAGGTAGAGGATAGGTAAGGACAATGCAACCAGACAGGGGCGAATGGAGTGAAAATTATGTAGACAAAGACAGAGATGGAGAGACAGAGACAGAGACACGGCGGGAGAGAGTCGGGCAGGTCAAAAGACCGGCGGGAGGTGGAATTCCGACCCAACGAAATGAGAATATTAGCGGCTGATGCTAATAGAAGACATAAGGATAGGATAGAAGCACGATGAGAGTAGTGCAAAGGTAGAATGCAGTGCAAATAATGTTCTGTTCAGCCAACATACTCGTACTCAAACATCCAAAAGCATCTCAGAAGTTATGACCAGCTTCAAAACAAACACAATACACATTGGCACCCCCTCATAGTATCCCAAACCCTGATATTCTCCTTCCTTCAATCAAGCTAGCGAGCGCGTCGGCCGCTGTACGGCGTTGGCGGTTGTCGCGCGATTTATCTCACGAGACAATTTCCAAGGTCTCCACGTTGCCGCCCTCGCCGTCCTCTGCCGGTCCGCCGGGCCGGGGGCCGCCGTCGTGGGGCGTCGTGGCGCCGCCTGGCTCGTGAATAGGTAGTAAACACACTGGCGACAGGCAGCGAGCGGTGCGCCGGACGCTAAATTTATTGACGGATCACGGGGGTGACAGATGTCTGCTATGGGAGAGTGCCTGGTGATGTTTAGAATGTGTGTAGCATGCTCGAGTGTGAGCTGCTACCGTGCTGCTGGGTTGATGTGTGCTGATGGATGGGTGTTCCGATCAATAAACGTGAGAGGAAAAAAAAAGCTTCAAAACAGGTTCGCACCAACGACCCATGAAACAATGAAATACGGAAAATGGCGCGGATATAAGCCACAAATGGCCGTCAATTACGGGTCATTTTAGCTCCTCACTGCGCCGACTCACGGTAGTAATATCCATAAAAAGTCCGACAGCAGCTCATGTCATTAATTGCCGTCATGCACCCTGCAATTAATGCAGTGTTTTGGGGATGGCCAGATATCCTGACTTCTCTCGGCACAATGAACCCGACAGCATTCCCAGAAGGCCAGACACATACTTCTGTTCCCAAGCGTTGGGGAGTTAGATGTGAATTCCCGCCAAAGAACGGAAGGACTAGGGCCGGAAGACGACAGCAATGACGCAAAAACGGAAATGAAAGATGACATGAGGTAGATGAAAGATCAGCAGCTAATTTATCGGTAATCGCAGACATGTTCCATAAAAACGTACAAATGTATGACGTAACACGTTCCTTCAGCGTGATACGACAGATTTTAGCTCTTCAATGTCATGTTTCATCTTCTTTATCTTCAACGTCGTATATTCGCCCGAAGTCCAAGCGACAGGCGAGGACAGTTCATAAAAGGCCAGCAAGACGGATGCAGAATGCATATGGGAATACACTGACAGACACCTACAAATTAAAAACATGAAATACCTACGTCTTGTGCACAGACAAAAATAGCAAAACAAAGTATATGCAAGAAGTAGTTCGGAGTCACCTGTTTGCGCGATGATAAGTCATTCCAGTCATCTCTGTACCCTGTGCTCTATCTTACATATTCGCTCCCCATCCCTCCCTTCCTCAATCCTCTTCCCTCCTCCCATCCTCTCTCTATCTCACCTGTCCGAGTCCTCGAAGGACAGGTTGTCTCCGTCTCCGTTTCCATTGTTGCCTTCCCATTCGAGCATGGGGCGACGCGCCAGCACTCACCACTAACACACTGACACTGACACTGACACTGCGGGTCACCAGCGGTCGGTCACCAGTCAGAGGGTCACCACTGGATGGAGGGTCACCACTGGTGCTGGCCAGAGCGCGCTCACAGGGAGGATGATCCACACTGAAACAAAGGACAGATGAATGTGAGGCAGAATGCAAAAACAATACAAAGAACAACCTCTCACAATGCTGATTATTCCAGGTGTGTGACTAAGACTTGCATTTTGATACATGGGTGGGCAAATGAGCCTAGGGATACTACCAAGAAGAAGTGCAGCAGAAAGGATGTAGTAGGGCTCTGAATTCATAATAAGTATTTTATTCAGTAGCTACTGATATGTAAGTCAATCTGCAACTACATTGCATGCCTGGTAGCCATGACAAGTTAATGGTTGGTAAGGCTTTCCAAAAATATTTTTGATAGCAAAATTTCCCCAAAATTACTCAGAGCTTACTCTTGCTAGTTGCTTGAGATGGTGCTAAGGCTTATATCTGACATTGAGTATGGCTAGGCGTAGACTGATGAATCCTCAAAAAATGTAGACGCTTGTAAAATGTCAAAACTTCTAGCCAGCCAACTGAGTTTTTTTCACATTTAGTAATTCCATTTAGCCAGCACATTTAGCCTTTTCACATTTAGCCACCTAAGAATCAGTTAAACTCCTCTACTTGCATTGCAAGATTGCATGGTTACATTTTTATTTGATTAAAAAAAATGTAACCAATATCTCAGCAATGACAAGGCCTGAGTTAAAAACAGTCCCATTGGGACATACGGACATATGGACCTCCAGACCATAGTGCCTTTTCATATAGGTATTAGGTACTGATCACTGAAAGGTACCTATGTAGATGTTTGGTACTTGGTAAGAAGCAACATCTTAACAATAAAAAAGCAGTCATTACTGGACTTATAAGCACTTATCAAATAAAATCCTTTTACAAAACACAATGTTGTACAAAACACAATGCTGTAACTTGACTACCAACTTACTTATAGCCAGTGACTCATAAAATATGGTCTTTACAAGGGCCCTCCTGTCAAATGGTTAATTGAAATTATGTTGCATTTAAGTATATCTGCTTCCTTAAAATATTTCATCCACCTTCTACTAGCTTCAGCGTTCAGACCAGGTAGGTAATAGTTTCCATTTGTAATGACGGAACCATGGCGGAATCAGGTCCAAGCTATATTTCCACCCTTTGACAGCCGATGAGTTGTCAAAAATTCAATTAAGCATGTGATGAATATGGCAAAAAATGCTGAAATTTATCAAATGAATGTTTTCATTTGTTCTACCCTATAAAGATCAGTCTTTTTGCCCATCCTGATCCAACCACCAGAATTGAGCACAAAATGGCAGCCTAAATTTCTGCCCTTATGCCCAAAATTTTGCACCTAATCTGAGTAACTTGTAAAAATCATAGGGAAAGCATGAAAAACGGTACAAGCCCACGCAGTCCGTGCCTAAAGCATGTTATCGATTTTTGCGACCTCCAAACAAAGGAAACGCACAGGGGGGAATACGACTAAAAATACCCACCAAAGTAATCCTGAAGAAAACTTCCGTAGATGATCCGATATCAAGATATGTCAGCCGTTAAAATCACGAATCAATCACGACAGAAACTATAGGGTATCACGGTAAATTTCTTATTTTTTGCACGGGAGCGCGGACATGGGCACCACCAGCGGCAGCAACAGCGGCGACAGTCTGCCGCATAGCCAATCAGCATTCAGCTCACAGCAGCTGACTGCCTCCAGGCACTAGAGGTGACAACTCTCAAAATTAAAGAGTTGCTGGAATAGTGTGAGTTGGCATAATGTTCTTGTCAGCTAGGCTTCAAATCTTTAACTTTCTTCCTTTTAATAAATTAAAATATTCTGAAATACTATTTTCATGAATAGTTACCATCTCTCATGCGCTATCTTGCTTTAAATAAATAAAATTACCATCAGAAGCTCAGAGTCTTTGCAATGCCGAGTTCCTTTCCTCTCTATTTATTGCTTGCAAAACATGCGCAGCTGCGACAAGAAAATGGTAGCATATGACTACTAAATAAAAAATGTGGTAGCTCATGGAAATTACTTAAATTAAATGACTTTTATCCTTGGCTTTTTCTACAAAATGAATCATTGACGGCTAGAATAAAAAACTAGAACTAAATGAATACAGAATTTTATTATGCCAATAAATATTTTGATTACAAATTAAAAGTAAATTCTGCACCAGTAGACACACTATTTTTATGTTAAATACGTGTACATTTTTAAACAGAAAATTTTATGCATATGTAACGCGCGCACAAGAAATAAAGCAGTAGGGATATTATTGAGTATGTCTTTGTCTTGATCAAAGACTCTTTGATCCACTAGTTTCTCATAATTCACAACCCACATTCTATGTAGTTACGGCTTACGCTGATAAAAGTATGTAGGACGGTAGGTACCTATTTCAATTTTAGATAGGTACCTTGGTAAATTTCAGTTGCCAGGAACTCTAGAAAGGCTCGAATAAGTCAGATGCAAGCAATGTTTCATATGCAATACATGCAGCTGGAAAATAAAACGAAGGGAGAAAGGTGTTTTGCCTGTTTTGCTCTCGTCAACAAGCAGATTGACGGTGTCGTCAGGAACGACCGTTTGTAGTTATCGCTTGTCTTCAAAGGAATCATCGTCATAATCTTCCACTACAGACGCAGTGGCAAGCCTTGTATGAACACGCAGTTGTGATGTGGCTAGTCAGGCTTCCCGCACAACATAGCCGCTATTGAATCCTGCTCGCACCAAGCAACCGCTTTGCCATCACTTTGTCATCGCAATGGATTATGACATCAGTTCGAATTTTGTTCGACGAGCACATTTTAGCTTCACATTTACCGTTATCAGACAGTGAACCAGCTTCGACGGTTTCCGCACTCGCAGTTCGCTTATAACGTTTATCCAGCCATTCTCGATACCAGTTCGGGTTTTCTTGCTCCCAGTTCTCGAGTTATTTTCGGTCCAACCGTACGGGTACTGGACGCGGTGTTTTATCCGATCTCGCTCCCTTTACTCATGATTAACAGCTCTGACAGTTCACTGTTCATTGAATATTTTCAAAAGCCTCGTCGGCTGGCGAAACACCTTCCGTATCGACACGTCTCAAATCAATATTGACCTCTGCTTCATGTATATTCGAACTGGTTAATGCTAGGGCCTAGGGACGGATGAAACTCCAAATCATCCCGATAGCTGCTTTTTGTTGCGTGTCTTGTCTTTTATCGTTTAATCTTGTGGAATACTGTATACATCTTGTATGCATACGTAAAGGTCAACTTTAGGTTATAGAGCAGGCCATAAAGAAATCGGAAAGTTTCTTCCAGTCGCGTATTACAATGGGTTCCGGTGAAGGAAACCGTAAGCGACCTCCCGTGACATGGTAATTCGCTTTACGAATTCAGCAAAAATTACTCTGCGACGAGCCATTTATTCTTTGGTGTACAAAACATAACCTGGCATACAACTGGCGGGGCAAAGAAACATTGATTAATGCTCAAATCTCACAGGAAAGCATTAGAAAGCCTATACGAGACAGATACTAAGAAGAAAGCCTGATATAATAATACTGCGAAAACTATCCCTTAGTTAATGGCAATAATTGTGGCCTAGAAAACCAAAACACCAGCATCAAAGGGGCACATAAAAGAGCTTCTGGACTACAGTCTGGCAATAAAGGGGCATCAATAGCTTCTAGACTACAATGCACAAAGCGAAGCGGAGCAAACGAATCCCAAACTGACACACCACTTAGAACGACAGAGTACCCATTCATTTCGATAATACTTAAATCGTCAATCAAACATCGCACTCTAAAAACGTACCACTGCATCCACGATCATCATCATAGGCTCATGTAGTCACCATTTGTCGCAAACCATCGGCAAAAATCGTCATATTTACAGAAAACACATCCATCCAGCACTAGAGGCCACCCCAGCAAGCCCACGGAGCAAAGACGGCGTTCATGTTAAATAAATCAGCCGCATACAAAGCGGGAAAGTGCTGCTCCAAAGCGATCGCTCGGAATGTAGCGCATTCTTGGCGAATGAGCAGCTTCGTACGTCTGTCCCCGTCATTTTCTCCCATCATGCCATCGTCAACATTGATCCCCAATCAGTCCGATCTACACTTCTACACCCAACTGGCCCGTTACAATAGCCCAAATAAATAGCCTAGTAGACGACGGCGGGTGACAGAACCGCCTAAGCCCAGAGTTGATCAATCCTCAGGCAGTCCATCTCCGTTCTCAAACACGGCTACTAAGATCCCACTATCCTCTAGCGGGCACCGCTCCGCCAATCTTGGGGATTCATACCAGAGGTCCTACTGGCACCAAAACTCCACAAATCCTTCTATTAGAATCAGGGATGCGGAGCCGGAGCCGGAGTCGGAGCCGGAGCCGCCGGAGCCGGCATATTTTGCCCGGAGCCGGAGCCGGAGCCGGAGCCGTGAAACAATATAGCCCGGAGCCGGAGCCGGAGCCGGAGCCGCCAAAAAAGGGGGCGACTCCGGCTCCTTTTTATTTTTTGAAGAGGAAAAAAATAATTGACCTAGTTCGGTTTGACAGTACAAGGCAGTAAAATATATGGTACTTACGTCATGGGCCATCAAGTGAATGAAAAAATCCGAATATCCCCAGTATTCCACAGTACGCAAACAACTTCCTGTTTGCTCTTCCCCCCCCCCCCCCACGTCTACTGCATCCCCAGAACATGAGGACCAGTCATCAGGTGACGGCCATTGTTTTCAAACCAGTGCAGTGGACTGCGACTCCCAGCACCGTCTCATCCCACACACCCCCCACCCCTCACCCCCCAATGCAGCCGAGACGGGTGTCAGCTTACGATGGTTCACTGAACTCCGATTCGCGGCGACTGCGTTTCCAATGCCATCGCTTCCTAGCCCTTTGTTCTGCCGGTTCTCTCCGAGGTGCGTTGGCGCGGGGACGCGGTGAGCCGGTCATGGCAAAGAGTAACGCGTATAACCAATCCAATTTTTCTTCCACCCGTATTTAATTGATTGCATAGGGGATGTACTGAGTCGGAGCCGGAGCCGCCGGAGCCGGAGCCGCCGGAGCCGGACCATTTTACTCGGAGCCGGAGCCGGAGCCGGAGCCGCCATAACATTTCACCCGGAGCCGGAGCCGGAGCTGGAGCCGATTTTTTTCTCCGGAGCCGGAGCCGGAGCCGGAGCCGTCTGAAATTTCCACGGCTCCGCATCCCTGATTAGAATGTTATATGAAACCCATTCATCCCTTGTTCCAGCCCCTCCAAAGAATCTCTCTGGGTGTAAATCTTGTCTGGGCGGTCTGAGCTGAGCTGAGCTGAGCTGAGCTGGGCTGGGCTGGGCTAAACCTTGTTCGATTGAGACACTGACCCCAGCGTGGACGGCTGTTCCTCTAGTATCGTGACCGCTATCTCAATCCGTCCTCTCGTTTCCTGGGTCCTATCCGCTGACCACGTTCACCGTTTGCCCTCCGGCGTGGCCAGACAGTCCCCACTCAGCTGCCGCGTCAGCCGTCCAATCACCAAATCATTCACACTCTCCCTTCCGGGACCATCTCGACACAGGCGCTTCTCCAGCGAGCCGCGGCTCACATCATCCCCATCACCCGCGTCTTCGTCGGCCGGCCGCTTGGAAGCGCCACTGTCGATCCGCGAGGCGGCGCCACCGTCGCCGCGGCGGATCACGGTGAGAGTGACGGGGTCAACGGCGCGCCGGAGTCGGTCCACGGCGGCAGAGTAGGAGAGCGGCCGCAGCGGGCAGCCCGAGATGTGCGTGATGACGTCACCTGACAGAGGAGGGAGGGGTGACGTCACATATGTGGACGGGCGAACGGGAGCACGAAGGTCAGGACAGATGTCAGAAACGAACGAAAAACCTGGAACCAATGACAAGACAAGGGGGCGTCCATTTTGGATGCTCAAAGAAGTTGTAGCTACATGACACATAATAATGCTAGCTCTGACAAAACACACACAATAATTCAGATGTCTCTTAGCTGAATAGATACTGCCGACAAAGTAAAAAAGGCAGCGGGGCAACTTCCATGATGCATCAAGTCATAAAACGTAAAGTTTCTTCCCTAGTCTCCTCCCTATCTCATTACTAGTATTTAACTCCGTCCCCTCCCCAAGATTACTTTACCACTCCCTCCCTTCATGTCCCTCACCTCCTGCGATGAGAGCTCGCGTGCCGGCCGGCCCGGCCGCGGTGACCGTCTCCACCGTGAGGAGACCCCCGTCAGCGGCAGCAGCAGCCCGCACCACCCGCACACCGAGGTCGCCGGTACGGGGGCACCGGTGGAGCCTGTGAATGGGGGGAGAGATGTTAGAGGGTGGTGATCGCGAGGGGAGTGAAGGTTGCAAGTGTAGAGTTGGAGACAAGGGAAGGGAAAAAGGCAAGAAGAGGGACAGGGTAGCCGTAGAATGATTGATATATGTCAGCTCCGAGACGGTCAAGTTTTACGCATTGAAATGCAATTTCATGGTGGAATAAACATGTTCAGCAATCAGACAGCGAAACAGACCAAAAATTATTAACAAATGGAATACAGTGGCTAAACCAAGCAAAGTAAAAAACAACGAACCAATGAAGAGCAACACATCTTACTTTGCCCCATGCCTCAAATCGAGTGACGCGCCGATAGCAATTGATCCACACGCTTCATAAAAACACTGCCCTTCCGCTGGAACTGACCTCCCCCCCCCCCCCCCGTCAGCTACTCACGTAATGTTGAACACGCCGGCGGTGTGTCTGAGGTCTCCGGTACTGCCGTCCACGGGCCGAGTACCGGGGGGAGCCGTCAGTTCAGGGGTGGCCGGCACCTCGGCCGCTGAAAATCGAACAAAGGGGACACGGTGAGTATGGGCAGAGGGGGGGGGGAGATAGATGTCCCGGGGGAGCCGTCAGGTAAGGGGTGACCGGCACCTCCGCCGCTGAAAACACGAATAAAGAGTGAGTAAATTAGAGAACGTCAGAGTGAAGTGAGCTGGCCTACTGTCAGGTCAGGGGTGGCCGGCACCTCGGCTGCTGAAAATACGAAACACAGGGGACAGTGAGTATGGGCGGAGGGGGATGTCACGTTGCCCGTCAGGTCAGGGGTGGCGAGCACCTCCGCTGCTGGAAATACGGAAACAGAGGGCACGGTGAGTATGGACGGACGAAGGGTATCTGACTCAGTTGAAGTGAACGAATGGAAGCGCGGTGTGCGTGAGGACTGAGGGATGTTCTCGTTGAATTGAAGATCGTATAGGGGTTTTGTTTGGAGAAAACGTTGGGATGAGGTAAGACATCTGCATCCAGTAATGAGTTCAGATTTCCCAAGAACTGAAAAAATCGATTTGTGGTGGCACGTTGCATTATTTTGAGCCCTACACACGTTTAGTTCAAATCGATCGCATTTCACACGTAAAAAAAGAGACAAAAAGAGGCAGCATTCCACAAAATGTTTTATCTCTTCAAACGCTCCTGAAAACAATACGGCCAAAACGTTCGTTCGACAAACATATGTATTTTCCGAATAAACGACATCCAAGACCCCCGAAAGCCTGTACCAAACGCTGTACAAAACCCCAACCCGTGGCTACTTTTACCAATAAACTGCCTTATGCTCCAGAGCGCAGCTATCCCACCCACCGTGCAGTCTGTCGATTCCGTGATTGAATACGGCACAGCACTCCTTATTGAGACACTATCGAGTGTGTGCGCCCTGTAGCGAAATGCGTTGAGTTGGCTCGAGTTCCACGCACGGTGCCTCATTGTTAGAGACAGATGGGCTTTGAAGACGCTCCGAACGAGCGTAATCAGGCTTCCTGCCGAAATCCTCCATTGAGAGGGTCTCTTCCCGTCGATATCATTATTCGTAGTCACGACTCCCGGATCAGTAATGATGCTAGAGCCAATGCCTCAGCGAAGTCCACGGAAAGGATTAGATTAACGATACACCAGCCAATACGCGGATAATCTTGTCAAATGGTTCTCGCAGCATCTTGATGGAAAGAAGAGGTATTTTGAAATGCCAGTTCTAGCATCATTCAATTAAACTTCTTACATGCAACAATGCATTGCCCTTTCAGACAGCTGCCTTGCGTATTCACTTATTCATTTTAACTTGCATCTTATCTGCTCTTGTTTCATCTTGTGTTAGCGCATGATCGTTTTATTTTTCCATTCAGCAGCCGGTTGTTCGTGATCTGCCCGACGCATATTCTGTTTTCGTTGTACTGGCTCAGTATTCCGTGTTTTGAATGAATCACAGCTTCAATCACTGTACTCCATTCCCCTCCACATACGCTGCGCTCTCAATCGCCGAACATTGATGTGATTTTGTAATCTACGCCCCTGTGTCATATTACATATTACAGTGATCTTATTCTGCGCCTCAGTCGCTAACACTGTCAAATTCGAGCTATCCCCTTTGCCACCACAGTCACCACTGTCACCTCACTATCTCGCCCACTGTCACGCCCGCTGTCACCCGGTCTGACTGACCGGATCAGCTGACGTATCCGTCACCACGCCCGTGTTGGAGCAGAGCGTGCAGCTGCTGCCGTCCGGCGGCTCCCGGTCCAGACTCAGACCCAGCGCCGTCTCCATGGTGTAGTGGCGCGCCAGCAGGAGGTACTCCCTCACCAGGGGCCGCTCCTCGAGCCGGTACGTCTCCACCGAGCGCCGCCAGCGGGTCCAGAGCCGAGACACGCGCACGGCCGCCGCCGACGGCGCAGCCACCGCCGCGCAGTCCTCGGATAGGCGGTGACGGAGACGGCGGCGGGCGGGTGCTTCGTGAGGCCACGCACCGACCCCGCCACCCCCAGCGCGACCGGCCGAGCCCTGTAGCCATGACGGCCTATACCGGCGAGCGGAGAGTCTTCTACACCTCACGGCCGCGCGCCAGCGGGTCACGTACTTCCTCTGGAGGACCCTCTTACGGGCAGCTACCTCCTCTGGTGGTGGGTCGAAGTGTTGGCGGACCCAGCTCAGCACAGGACTGCCCGGCGGAGCGTCTTCGGGTCGCCGAATCGCGCCGGCCGCTGGAGGTCGGTTGTGACCCAGCACCAACGCTAGGACATCTCCCAAGAATGGCACGAACGCCTGTCCGGACGCAGCCACGTCAGCAGCCACACGCTGGTACGGAGGTAGACGCGTGTCAGCAAACAACTTCGACAGACTCTTGAAGGCGCGGTATTTTCGGTCGTGTCTGGTTTTCATATGCTCCCAGGTTTGCCTGAGTCGGAATACGGGCACGGTTTGTAGTCCACTCAGCAAAGCCTTACAGGAGTGGAAGTTACGTAGGTGATAGCACCGCTCGGCTACAGTCACTAGCTTGGTGATCACTTTAGCTCGGTTACGGGAGGTCTCCTCGAGTAAGACATTGGTCGTTACGAGGCATACAATCCGATGGAAGAATAACATAGCCGTCACAAGCGGTTCCAGAATTCGCGGGTCGGGCCGGGTCAGAAGAGCCATCAGCTGTGCCGCCGACACTCTCCGCAGCATCTCTCGGTCAATGAGCGTCATCTGATGCGCCAGTACCGCTGAGTCTATCTCTCTCACTCGGCGCAGCGTGGTACACCCGGGCATGGTGGCTGCCGTGGAGTCGGATCGCGCCCCAGCGCCGCCTCCGAGCCCATGAGGAGCTGTTGTACCAGACACAGAGTCTAGTAGTGACGGTTCGAGTGACAGCGCCTCACTGAGTGTGATAGCTCCGTCCGACGCCAGCGAACACGTCTCACTTCGCTGTGATAGAGACACGACGTCCGGCTCTGGCGAGCCACCCCGCCGCGGGCTCATAAACCGACAGAAGGCCAGCGATCCGCCCCCACTGGTGCCCGCCGCGCCGGAGCCAATCGCCGTGCTATCACCATTATCCCCTCTCCTCTGCCGTTGCATAGGGGACAAACTGACACTCCTCTGGCGGCCCACAGACTGCTGACTGCTCCCCACGCGACCCTCAGAGGCCGTCCGGCGGCCTGCGTCTTCAGAGTCGCGCTTCTTTCCCGGTCGAGATGTCCCAGAGAACGACCGAAATAGCTGCTTGTAGGTGGATTTGATCGCCTGACTGGTTGCGGACTGTTTCGCACGTGCGGATAGTTTGGAGAGGCTCCGAGCTACCTTGGATTGTTTCTCTTTACTACGACGTGTCTCAGCAGCGCGGAGCTTTTCATGTGCCACGCGGAATTCTTTCAGAAGCTCCATCCGGCGAGTGTAGACCGCTCGGGCCAGTACAGGTCTCTCAGTCTGCTCGGGTCTCCAGAACACGGCTCGTCCTTCAGTAGACACAGACTCCCTCCCAGCTGAAGGGATCGTACTTAGATCCTCTACAGAAGACGTCGCGCACAAATCTCCTCTCCTCAGCGGTAGATGAAACTCCGCGCCTCGTGCCTGGCCACACACCCGTCTCCGGACTGCCACGGGCCCCAGCCGGGTTTCAGAGGCGGCTCGGCGTACACGGGCCATGTGGCGCCCAGTTGGTGAGAGCAGCGTCCAGCCGAGCTGACGCTCCGCTAGAGGAGCCAGCACAGAGTGACGCGTATGCCGCCGCTTTCTCGACAGCGCGGAAAGCTCCCAAAGCTGCAGCGCATCATCGGCGACTTTCGTGAAAGCACTGAGTCGCTGTTTATCCGCAGCGCTCAACTCAAGCGACACATCACTTGATAGATACAGACTCAGCGTGCATTTCTCCTCCACGCCTGTGCCGAATCGGTTTATCATCAGCGTCTGAGATTTGCGCCGCTCCAGAGTCCCAGCCGGGGTTGTTGGAGGCGGCGGAGTCTGCCCTCGCGCGCCGCCCGTCCCCGCCGGTGTGCGGACGGACGTTCGAGCCGTGCGCGTCGTACGCGTCGTCGTCGCCGTCGTGGTGGCCGACGTTCCCGACGACGTCTCCGACGAGGTCGACGTCGAGCCGCACGTGGAGCACGTCGAAGCCGACGAGTCGGTGGTGGCGGAGACGGCGGGCAGCGGCGGCACGACAGGTGCCGGCGGCTGGGGTTTCACCGGCTCCGGGCGGGACGGCTTCACATCCTGCTCCTCAGAGGTCAGCCACACTGAGGAGTCGGCCCGCTGGGACTGAGATCCGACACCACTGGCCACCTGCCCACCGCGGGCGAACCAGCTGACCTGCACCTGCCCCCTCCCGGCCGCCGCCAGCTGACGCAGACTGCGCCGCCGCTCCAGCGTCGATAACGTCGAGCTCGTGTTGGCCACCGACGTCTCCGAAGAAGAAGAGTTGAGGTTGGGGCAGAGGAACTCCACACGTTCCTCCCACTGGCGCCAGACCGAGTCGGCCGCGCGACCGCCCAGCGAACCGCGCTCGCTCAACTCGAAGTAGTACACCTTCCCGTTGCAGAACCGCGCCTTTAGCTTGTGCCGTCTTCGAGAGAAGACACTCAGATTGACGCACTCAATCGGTACAATGCTCACCATCTCTAGCGTATCCAAGTCAGCATCAGAGTCTACATCATCAGGAGCCAGGTAGAACAGACTGTCAGCATCTTCGCCGCCCAGCTCATCGGTAGCAATGATGAACTTTGTGGGCGTGACGGCAATCTGCACCTGACGCAGGCCACGACCGCGGCGGGTCACCTGAGCGAATGCCGCCTCGACGAGCACTAGCTCCTCGAACTCGTAGTATTCGTCGGAGAGGAGCAGGCGTTGGATTCGAGGTCGGATTGCCGCCGGTGGTTCGCCCGTGTCGCCCATGGCCGCCCCCGCCCCCGCCCTGAGTGGGCGGCTCAGCGCAGTCCTAGCCACCCCCGCCGCCGATCGAATAGAGAAGCGGGCGTCTATAATTCATTATCGAAAAAGCACGGATCTAAACTCAGATAATATGATATAGTTATATCAACAAGAGTGAAAACATTTCGACAAACAATGAAGGTCAAGCACCCAAGCAAGCTATCGCCACATTTTGTGCTGTCGTTCAAAATGTCGAAGCTTGATGAAATGCGCGCGAGTTGTCAATAGAGGAGCTTCTCATAACAAGAGAAGATAGTGTTTCGTCTGCCCTGATTCACAGCATAACATGGTTCTATCGACTGAGGAAAATAAACGTCAGTGAGTGATAATCTAGCAAGGTAGGTGATGTGACATTCGACAAAAAACTGAGCATACAAAATAACAATAAAAATTGTATACGAAATGCATTGTGTATGAAATGCATGAAATGCAATTTGACAGCACAATCACTACCAGCTGACTCACCGATGACGTAGGCACCGTCAGTAAGATGCGGCAGCGCCTCTCGGCTGCGCAGCTTTTGTCTCTGCAGCGCCGAGACGGGCACACGCGTTCCTGGAAAAGATACATATTGTTACGGACGAGTACTTTAGACGTGCCCGTGGCCCCGTGAACAGATAGATTCACGCTGGTTTTCGCTGCAGTGTGCTGACTGAGCGGTGTTTGCCTAATACTTCCGATATGTCAACTCATTTTATAGGAGCGACAAAGAGACAATACTGGGAAAAAATAATGAGAGAATTAAAACGAAGCTAAGAAAAATAACAGTGAGTCATTGAGAAAAGCAGGTTGAATAACCGAAAGACACAAGGTTCATCGAACATACTAACAAATTTAACAAGGCTACACTAGGGCAACAAAGCAAACATCAAAACCTCACAGCTGTTAACCCAGGAGCATAGCCTTTTATCTCCGCCCTCACCAGCCCCCTTTACCACCGGCACTCACCCATGCGTATTCCGTTGGCCGGCGGACTGCCGTCCCGTGCCGCCGCCGCCGGCCGGCCCGGCGCCAGCTGGCTGGCGCTGCGCCACCTGGCGGCGCCACGAGACACCTGGCGCTGGCGCAGCGGGCCGCCCGCGCTCCGCCGCCTCCTATTGGCCGCCGCCGGACTCTCCTCCAGCTGATTGGTCAGCTCCGGAGACGACCCCGCGTTCTCATTGGTCCTCCTCGCCGCCGGCGTCCTCCCATTGGTCGACCCGGCCGGGGCTGGCTTCTGATTGGCCGCCGACACAGGCGCCGCCTTCAGGTCAGGCGATGCCGCCTTCTGATTGGCCGCCACTGCGTGACGTGTCGCCGCGCGATTGGTCAGGGAGGAGAGAGGCGTCCTCACACAGTAGTGAGTTAGCTGAGGGGAGGTGGGGTCCGCTCTAGCGCGGTACACCTGAGTAGGTTGACCTGACCCGGCCGTGAGGTGGAGACCCTCGCGAAAAGAAGTGAGGTGCTGCTGTAGCATGTACTCCAGACAGCGCAGCCTGCGGGGAAGGGGAGGGTCACGGTTACACAAAGCAGACGCGGAGGGGTCAGGGCCATCGCACGCACTTTTGGAGGGGAGTTTCACATATTACACAGCGCGAACACTGGGATCACAGGTCACACACCTGTGGCGAGGAGGGCATAAAGCATTTTATACGTGGGCGGAAGGATTACTGGGTCCAATGTCGGTTAAAATACGACACATCTGTTCGGTCAATGCGTTGATAAAGGTGGCGAACACAAGACTTGGATGTAATGGCATTGGAGGGTACGGGCTATGACGCACTAGGGGACATCAGGTAGTTGGAACTTATACGAACGGTCATGGCACCGACAAGACACTCTGTGATAAAATGGATGACGAGCGGTTGAAAAGTGGTGGTTGGTGAAACATCAGCTAATTATGAGCGCTGGACTGACCTCAGCGCACTCGAATGAGGATCTGTGACTGCAGCTTTACCAGGAAGCCAGCCACAAATGAGCGTATGGTGAAAACTGAGATGAGGTTTGATAGCCGTAAAAGGAGATCTTTTTTTAAACTAACATATGACGAGGGAGAAATCCGGACATGTCCACGATTGAGCATCACCTAATAATCAATCAATAAGCAATTATTAACTTTGTAATGACACAAATGAATCACGACGATATCAAACAGATTCAATTTCCACCCCAGGCCCTTTTCACCCGGGGGAGCGACGGACGATTTTTGTTTGCTCCACGACATGCGTTGAGCCGCCTGGTCTGAGTCAGATCACGAGCGAAACGGACTAGTCAGAGGAGGGTGCACGCGGCAGCGCGGCTAACTAAGTTGCCCGTCCTCACGCAACGAAAAGCACCTCCGCTTTGGTCCTTCCTCCGCCCGGGCTAGTAAGTGCGTAGGGCGGCGGCGGCCCAAATCCCTCTTTTACAAAAGGCAATGTAGCAAGGTAAATCAGTAATCACCAAACAACAATCGTATACGGGCAACGCTTCAACTCCTCTCCAAGAAATGGTCCAACCCAACGTCCGTCTCGACCTACCACGGATGCCCAGAATCATGCCACCACCCACCGCCGACCGTGTCGGCAAACTCAGCGGCTCCCGCGAGCGACCGACCTCCTAGGTGGTTTCCGTAGTCGCCTTGTGGGTCTCACCACAGTAGCTGCCCATAACCCGGCCGGCCGCCAGCCGCCAGTGACGTCACGTGCTGACGTCAGAGGGAAAGGGAGCCACGTGTGGTATGGGCAGCTAGTGTTCGTGTCCCGATATTTCTAACGCCGTGCGGGGTAAGACGGGCCACCCCAGGCCGCCCGCCGCTGCACTCACTCGGCTTGGATGGGTGTGTGCCAGGAGGAGTTTGTTGAGGTGAATAAAAGGGGAATCAACGCCTGCCGTGAGGGAAATAAGGAGAATGAAAGAGACTTTTATCACCGTCGTGGGTAGTAAGCATCCGTGCCAGATTTGGCTGGGAGCAACGGGTAGAGATAGCCAGCCGACTTTTGGTCCCATTCTTTCCATACAACGCCCATAGAGCATGGCAAAATCAGGGGGGGGGGCACAGTGCCCCGTTGCCCCCTCCCCCGTTCCGCCGCCTATGAACGCCATTTTACGACTCGCGACAGGCATTTTCATAACAGGCAAACACCAACGGCACCACATACGGTAAACAAAAGCCCATAATTGATACAGGGGTGAGACCGAGCTGTACTCGCTACAACTAAAGCAAGTGTACCGAGAAATATGTACTCACTTGGCCTTTTCGCCACAGAAGGTCATGGCCTCGGCGCCGGCCGTGTTCACAATCAGCCGTCGGGAGCGGTGTTTGTACCTGCCGCAGGGTTACAAACAGGTCAGATGAGCTGGACAGGTCGACAGGTCAGTCACGTAATATCACACAGGATAGGTTAGGTTGCATTACATAAATCGGGCACGTCGGGTCAGGTCTGAGGGGACAAACGGATCGCATAGGTCAGGTCAAGTCAGGTTAGGCCGATGAGTCGAACAAGGTCCGGTCGTGTCAGATACATGATGCGATACGTCGTGCCCTATTTGGCTAATATGCTAGCTTGATGACGTAGCTCAACTAACCAAGTCACGACGTACTCACTACCAACGAAGCACCTCACATAACTCACGGCTAAATCAAAACACAAACAAACACAGCATGATTCACAAGCAAACTCACGGAGTCGCTCCGTCACTCCCGGCGTAACTCACTCACTCCCTGCATAACTCACTCGATTTTGGAGACGGTGGACCAGTGCAGAGTGCGGGTCGTGGACCGACCGCTGGGGTCACACCGGGACAGCCTCAGGCAGCTGGGGTCGATGGACAGCGTCGACGTGCTGTACGACTTGACACGCTGAAAACGGAAACATCAGACACGCCGTCAAACAGGGGAGCGAGGCATTACGCGTTGAAGGGTTTGTTAGAGGAGAGCTGGAACTTCGTTGCCAACTTGCCAAGTGCGCGAAAGCAAAATGCCATGAAAGATGATTGCAATGAAAAGCAAGCAACTGCCTTATGAATGTGCTATAACGTCCCAAATTATTGTTGCAGCCTACGAGCATTGCGCGCATCGTGGTTCGAGGTCAGAGCTAGGGCGAGTGCGACCGGCGAAAAGTTTTGACCGTGACAGGACTCGAACCTGCAATCTCCTGATCCGAAGTCAGGCGCCTTATCCATTAGGCCACACGGCCGGCTGAACAAATTGTGCCTTCCAAATTAGATACACTGGACGGCACTGCTCATTTCTTCAATCTTTGACGTCATCACGAGTAGTAACTCTCGTGAGCACTAATTTGGCCGGTAATTGATTTCCAGGCGACGAGACAAAACCTTCCCTGGCAATACTAAATCCACTAACGTTTCTCCAAATCGTCCAAAGATGGAGAGGGTCATTTCTAACCCAACGTGTATGCATAATATATACTGAACCGCAGTCATTAAACTTGAGGTCGTGTCCGCTGTTCTTCTATAAACTCCCCTCCCTACACTCTAAGTCGTCGTTTCACGGCTGCTGTTAGCACGCTGCTACCACGCTGCCAGCGCATTTCGCGAGCTGGCGTCACAAGTTGTGGTCAAGTCACTCAACGTTGGAGCATCCGAGTCTGCTGATGTCTCCATGGAAACCGACTTTACCACGTGCGCTGACAGCGTGCTAGCAGCGGCCGTGAAACACCACCTGGCTTCCCCCACTCAACTCACCAGATCCACAGAGCAGCGATGCCTTCCATATCCCCTGCACCCGGCCGCCACCCTGACGAAGCGCCGCTCGGCCGCCGCCGGCCCGCCGGCCTGGCCGGCCGCCCCGGGCTGCTCCGAGCCACACGTCACGTGACCCTCCGTCAGCTGGCGCAGCAGCTCGGCCTGTGACGTCAGCGGCTCGGGAAGGTAGTGTTCCGGCAGGAAATAGGCAGCGCCGCTGTCCTCGATCATCGAGTCGGCGCAGCTCTGTGGAGAGGGGAGAGAGACGAAAATGAGAGGCCGGCCAGAGACATTATATGAGTCATGATTCATGTACCATCAGAGGGTCAATATTCTAGACATCTTGTACCCTGTACCATCCTGACACAGCCAGGTCAGATGTTGTATCCCAAGAGAAGGCTGCAAGTCTTGCGAATGTTGTTAGGATGGGTGAAACAAGGTGACCAGCTATTGCTTTCCTCTACCTTATCCCTAAACTTTTGCCTTTATCAAAGGCACTAGTGGGTTTACCTCAACCCACTAAACCTCGGTCGTTGATCTATCTCATTAAGCCACGCCTGTCCCTAGCTCTTCTGACGTTTGATCCATCTCACCTTGTCGCTCCTATCGCCGAACTCTGCTGACGTTTGATCTATCTCACCTTGTCGCTCCTATCGCCGAACTCTGCTGACGTTTGATCTATCTCACCTTGTCGCTCCTATCGCCGAACTCTGCCAGCAGCGCCAGGGAGCTCAGCTGCTGATCTGATCTATCTCACCTTGTCGCTCCTATCGCCGAACTCTGCCAGCAGCGCCAGGGAGCTGAGCTGCACCACCTGGTTGGAGCTGACGTCCAGAGAGTTCTCCAGCAGGTTCTGCCGTAGCTGCAGGTACAGCAGGTGCAGACCAGTCGCCGACCTGCACGGACGAAGGGGAGGGGGAAGGTTAGGATAAGCCGCGGTGAACCACGTGACCTTACAATGTGGGGTCACGAATATTTAGCATCAAGGTCGCTGCAGTTGATGTAATCTGGCTGAAAAAAGGCGACCAATAGCCGAGGGCATCACATCAGAGCCAAAACTTTGTTAGAAAGCTGATGACATGCAAAACACGAAAAGTTACAATGGAACGAGGCACTCGTGCATCAAAAACTGACCATATTAGCGGAGCTAGAGTCATAATGCCAATTATTTTCTCGCATCTCCCATGCATCATGTCTTCTTTTCTGTACCAGCCCCCGTAATCTTCTCAACCACCCCTGTGTAAGCTGAGACCCCCCCCCCCATCTCACGTACTTTGGTAGAGTGTCCGCGGTAGGGTAGAGTTTGAACCTTTAATAGAACGTCAGCAGCCGGTCACTCTACACTCTGTACTCTGATACTGTGTGTGTACTGAGCAGCCCCCCCCTCACACGTACTTTGGCAGCGTGTCCGCGGTAGGGTAGAGTTTGAACCTCTGGTAGAGCGTCAGCTGCCGCCCTCCGGCCGGCGACACTAGCGCCTTATTCAGCCTGGTGCCCGGGGGCGGAAACAGAAACTCGCCGTCCGCGGACACGGCCAGACCCAGCAGGGAGGGGTGAGGGTAGGGCTCCTCTTCGAATACAGCCTGTCGGGGGAGGGGGGGGGGGTCAGTGAGGTCAGGGTTAGGTCAGTCCGAGCAGGGAGGGGTGGGGGTAGGGCTCCTCTTCTAATACCGCCTGTGGAGAGGTCAAGCGGGGTCAAATAGGGTCATTGAGGGTCAAAGCAGCTCAGGTGGTCAGATATTAATGTTAAAATAAATCATAAGGGGGTCAACAATACGATTCGCATCGAAAAAGCCTCAAAGGTCAGCTCGTAGTCAACACAATAAACTTGTTATGACGCTGCTACGTTATGCATAACAAGTTACATGTTGAAAAAGCACAAATAGCAACAGCAAATCAACATACAGCAAGCTGAATTAGTTAAAAGGGTCGCACTCGACCTCGACCTAATCATAAGGTTCGTCCTAAGCTGATTCGAGCCAAACGGCCGTCCACTAACGGCAATCGGTCAGTCCACCACCCAGCCCCTCCCACCCCCCACCCCCCAGAATATGACGGCATAGTCCTATTACCTCAGTGATATCAGGCACGGTATGTCCGGCTCACAGTCCAGTCCCTACCCACCATAACCCCTCCCAGACCCAGAATATGACGTCATAGTCCTACCTTGGTGACGTCCGCCACAGTATGGGTGTCGGGCTGACAGCCGATCTCCAGCTTCTGACCGTTGAGCAGAATCACCAGAACGCAGCCGGATACCGAAGACTTCTGTAATTGTGGGGGAGGAGGGGGAAGGGGCGTTAGAGAATTCTTTATATGTAGTATCGTAGTATACGTTAGCTGGGTGTCCGGTTGGTAACTCATGGGATGCGCCCAGGCGCTGTACGTATTGGGGGTCAGTACAACGATAAGCACGACATACTAAGTCAATGATGCTGGCTTTATGGTCGAGAATAACATCATGCTGCCGTTTTTTTCTACCCTGATTATTCGCTTCACTTCTGCCCAAAAGCCCATGATAATGTAACAATATCTCCAAACAATTTTGAGTGCCGATCGTTTTCCCATCACACGACACGCCAATGTTCAAACATATTCATCCAGCCCCTCACCTGAGTCAGGTCGAGTCTCCGCGGCTTCTCGCGGGCTCTGATGACAAACTCCGGCCCGCAGAAGACCCTCTCTCCTGGTTCGGGCCGGCCCGGCCGGGGGCCGTATAGAGCAGAGGGTTTGCGGCGCACCGGACGGCGTCTCCGCAAAGTGCCGTGTGGCGGCGCCACCGTCGCTCCGCCAGACGGCGCCACCAGTGACTGGTTGGGAGTGGACGTGGCCAGGTTTTCCGCTGATGTGCTGTGGGGAAATGCATCGTAAATCAAGAGATCCTGCACATATGTTTCACATACGTTGCAAATACGTCAAAAGTAATTACCAGGTAGGTAACTATGATAGCATATCGCTACAAATAATGCCTAGATCCATCGCACCACGAGAACAGGAGCCGAGATCCTGATGTCATCCATCGCATCACATCACACCCCACAACTCGCAGCAAAAACACCCACCATCAAACATTTTCAGCACTTCCTCAACCACCGATCACCCGCGACCCCAGCTCAGCCCCCACCCTGACCTGGTGCTACACAACCCCCTCCATCCCCCCCTCCACACCAGCTCAACCCTCCATCATCACAGGCTGTTCGTGCCGCCACCAATCCGGACGATAAAGGCCCGGGCTGCCGGCGCCCGGGTGCACATTACTTACCGTCACGACACCACTCCACGGTGAAGGGAGCGACACGATACACGGCACGAGCCGAGAACACGGAGGGAAGGTGAACTACAGCAGTGGGAAGGAGAACTAGTCACGACATCGGACACCTTATACGGCCTCGGCACGAAATAGGAAACGGATGGAGGCATGGACATACCTATAAGAATACGGCAAACGTGTACGAGTCTATATTTTGCTAGAGTCTCTTGGCCATGAACGCGAGGTTACAGCAGCCTAACTCCAGCTGTAACCCCAATTACTCCAGTATGTAGTGCACACACCACTGTACACTTTTCGTCTCACACACCTAAGTAACTATGCCCCCTTCGATAAATATCCAAATAAATACTCTATCCCACCCACTGCCCCATCACTTACGATTCTCTGGCCATCAGTCTGATCATATCCTTCTCCAGGAGAATATCGTGTCGATGGCCGCCACTTCCGGCGGAAGTCGCACCGGAAGTGGCCGGCTTCCGGCCCAGGAGCCGGTGCGTTTCCGGCGAGCGACGGCCCGGAAAATGGCCGGAAACGACACAGGAGGCGTTACGCAGCTCCGTGGAGGTCGAGATCTGCCAAGAAAGCGATCGGTGGGATGTGTTACAAGGAAAAATTCCAAAGATACAAACATGAAGGTAAGAATGAGTGTCATCGGGCGGTAAATATTTGCGTGCCAGTCATTGCAATCACAGAGACCTTATAGGTATAAGATACATACCTAAGATCTTAATTGTATGTATATACGTAAGATCTTAATTGATAGCAACACACTCCAGGAGGAGGATTTCAGAAAAGAACATTTCTCGAAATCCTACCTCACAAGATATTAACGCACGTCAGTTTGACTCAGCGACTTCGACATTGATTTAGACAGTCTGAGTTGGAGGTTTTCGTCATATCACGCCACACAAGACCACGTAGAGATATATAACACACGCTGAGTGCCTTGGCGCAATTCGAGTGTAAATATCGCTACGCTCGCAAACGCCGGAGTATGCCCTGTAATGGCTTTACTGAATTACCTATCTCCGAAGGCACGTAGGCTCGATTGCTTCCAGATGAAGGCACGCAGACATGATAAATAGCCAATCAAGCGTTGGGAGCGTTTCTCGTCAGTTGATATAGGGTGATCCGGTTTGACACATGTGTAATAGTGTGTAAGGTAGATCCTAGGAAAGATCAATCGCACGATCTCGATCATTTTCAGAAAAGTACACTGCGCAAGGGTTCCAGAAACACTTGTGCCCAGAAGAAGTAGCAGAACGGATACTGTAAGGCGCGATTGAGATAACTAGAGGATGGCTTTGAGAAGCTCAGCAGTGGAGGCTTTGGAGATTGATAAGATGAGTCGGCACTAGTGAGACCAAAGGAACGATAGTCGCTGGTCAGAGCGAGGAAATGTCACTTGGTACGACACTTGTTGAATGTTGTGACAAATTGTCCAAATGTCATTACGAACTTGCTGGGTAAGACATTCATTATAACGAAACCCACTAAGCATGCAAATCCACCAAGCCACCAAGCATTAAAAGTTAAAACATAGGTGAAGATTGACATCCAAGACCCCACATTAAACCAAGCCAAAGCGAAGTAAATCCCTTTCCAAAGCACCTTCAATCGCTACGCATCCTTTACATTCTCCCTAAACAAGACCGACTGTCTATTCCATTTACCCGCTTCCCCTTCCCCTCCCCCTCCCACTATAGACTCGTCCTGAGAAGGTGTGGCCGAACTGTGGGACTTCTCAATGCTGAGAGGACTCTCAGAGTACGGTAGTTGGACTCCTCAATGCGGGAGGACCCCCGGAGTATGTTGGTTGGACTTCTCAATGCCAAGAGGGCCGGTGGTGTGCGCTCCCATTATTGCTTGTGGATACCATATGCGTTAGAGAGGCTCCCAGGGCAATGGGCCGCCCGTTCTCTACAATGGAGGCTAGGCAGCGCCGAGCGGCGTCAGAGAGAATGAGGAGTGGTGGATCCAAAAGTATGATATGCACGGCGAGAGAGAGAGAGAGAGAGAGAGAGAGAGAGAGAGAGAGAGAGAGAGAGAGAGAGAGAGAGAGAGAGGCGGAGACGCCGACAAGAGAGCAGTTCGATGATGCCATATTTGACACTATAAGCAGTGTCAGTGTGCCAGTGGAAAGGGCCGACGGATATGAATGGTGCCGTGATTTCTAATTGGATGTGGGCTGAGCGACTATCGTATTACATACTGCTCGATTTTCGCTCACCTTTTCTTTTGATTGGTTATTTTCGGGTTATATCTACGGCTGTGCTATTGTGGAATGAAAATGAAGCCAAGTGTGGGAGAGGAAATGTGAGCCATGAGAGAGAAAATGTAATGATGATGACTTTGCAGTTGGGTACCACTTTGGCAGCCTACTCATTTATATTGTATGAGTTTTATGATGCGCTATTTTTAATTCCGCTTTGGAATGTTTATAAAGCGTCATTTCTTGTTGGGTCATAAAAAATCATATACTGTATTGTATTAAAATTTTAACATTTTTAGCATTTCGACTTTTACAGTTGTAGTTAGTGGTAGTTTTACTTGTAGTTAGCAGTTCCCGCGCAGTACATACCGTGCAATTAACTCCCCTCTCTGCTTTACCTCTCGCAACTCTTTCGCCAAACGCTAAGCTGTTACCCGATAACCGGACAAAAAACCTGAGTATTACAAGCATGTTATCAACATCCCACTCTCTTTAAACCCAACAAAAGGCTCAGCCAACCAACGCCTGGGAACATTGCCAGAAATGATGCAATCATTGCTTTAGCTTGTTAGTTTCTGTTGAGTGTGTAAAAATATGTCAAGTGCCTTGGATATAATACAACCCAGAAGTCAAGCCTCTTTAGCTTCTTTACAGCTAAAAGGAAGTGCACCAAGAAGCCTCATCCAATAACCGCGGCATAAACTGAAATTAGGTCTTACACATGTGCACAATATGCAGCACCACATAAGACTTTTCCTCACATCTCAGGCTCCCCAGCCCATGTGTAACACACGCCCAGACCAAGAAAAGGCGGGATAGAAGTGCCACGCCGGCGCCAATTTGGTTGGCGCCAAAATGCACCACAGAGGCCATCCTGACCAGATGGGCGCGCGTACGTCTTGCTTATTTCGCGCGGGAAGTTTCTTATGATAGCAGTTAGGTGTGCCGAGGCTCACCGAATGATAGTCGTAACTAGCTCGGCGACAGAGGAAAGAAATACGCGAAAAGGACTAATGCGTCGTCTCTGAGTTTCATTTGTTGGGAGGCGTGTTTATCTTAAAAGCTAGTTAAGAAGCAAAACTGCATAATTAAAAAGG